ACATGCCAGATCATGAATTAGTAACTGCATCCAATTCCCAAAAAAATCCCAATTGTTTTGAACTTTCTCTTTTTGATAGTCTTTGAGTTTTTGGGATAAGTTTAAATGGTCACCCAACTAACAATGTTGTTAGGTATCTCACAAAAAGATGATTGAGCTGACATGACATATCTGAGTTAGAATATATCATTCGCTATGTGGATATTCACTCTACATTATACCTATTGCATAGCACGATCTAATAAATAGAGAATGCTATCATAAACCTTAACATGTCGATGTGGAATGTAACATTGTGCTGTTAATCCACGCGATCGATCACTGGATTTTATTCTGGCCATCGTATAGCAACATCGGACAACTAATTAGCAACACGATCATAAACCTTAATGCATTCATGTAGAAGATAAGATTAGTCTTCCAAGTGATCAATTACGTGATGCCTCTTAAGCAAATGCGATTCAATAGGTGAATGGGAAAAGTACTTAAACAAAATACAATTCAGTGGAGCATAGAGCACAATAGATCAATGAAGTTGGAGCGACGCGAAGAGGACGACAAAGACAAAATCTTTGAAGGGTTTTTTTTTTCGAAGAAAAAAAACAAAATTTTGATTTTGAGCAAAAGTGCAATGGCAAAATGTGAAAAAAAAAATTGAAAACGAGTCCACTATGAGAAAGGTTATATCGTTGTGTCAAAATATAAACATTGCGTAATGCGATCTTATGACTAGTACTGCAATAAGATTATTGATCGTGTTTTAAGGGACATCGTGTAAGTGATTGCATATGGTGGATTAGCAGTACCAGATTACATTCCACGTGGGCGCGTTAGAGTTAAATGTTAATGATCGCATTGTTTATTAGATCGTGCTATGTGTTATGGGCATAACACACGTGTGAATATCCACTTAATGAAAAGATATATTCCAATCTTTTTTATGATACTTAAAAACCATGTGAGACCATTTAAATCTATTTAGAAAATGTACAATTATAAAACACAAGGACGAAAATAATTAATGGTGAAAATCATGAACCAAAAGGACACTTTTACTAAAAAAAATCAATCAATAGCGATGATCATTTGTTTTACTATTTATTTAAGTTTAGGATTTAATTTAATGGAGAACTAAACAAAAAAACTCATCCAACAGTTACAATTAGAAAAAAAAAATTGTAGAGCTTAAAAAGTTCTTAATGACCTGTGTATTTGGAGTCGACACGTGTGTTTATTTGCCCAAATAAACACGTTTTTTTAATTAATAGTGTGGGTTTAGTATTCAAAATTTAAAATTAGAGCCAAATTTAGACTTTTCCCTTTGAATAAAACAGTGTTGTTAAGCATTTGACCCTTGTTTTCTTCCCTTGCTCAATTTTTTATTTTTATTTTTAATTTTCAGATGCGATGACAGGCTTTATTTAATCTCATTTCTTTTTCAAATCAGATCAATCATAATCTCTCTACCACACAGTTCAATTTAATTAAATTACATAAAGTCAATTTTTTGTTGCGTTAGAAACTTAAACATAATTAAGCTAGAAAACACATAAAATAATTTTTTCTTTTTTGCAAGTTTAGAAGTTCAAATCATAGATTTATTTTTAAAAAATTATTGGGAAAACATATTTAAAATTTTTATAAATATTTACTTGTAGAATCTAAATTAGTTATTATATTTTTTAGTATAAGTAGGAGCGAAGAGATTGGAAGTTATGACCTGTTAGTAAGAGATATGTATTAATTATGCTAAACATATTGACAATCTAAATTAAGTTATTTCCTATCACTCTTGTTCTCTTTTAATTAGAAATAAAAAATATTAATTTAAAGATAAAAGAATTAATTGGTTGTAAAACTTAAAATAATCAACCAAATTTGTTTTCTTTCCACCAAACTAGAGTAACAATCATATCAATAAAGTCACACATCCAAACATAAAATTTTACGACTTTTGGATTAGGGTTTTGAGTCAATAAATCACAATAAATGTCTAAATTTCCAGCAAAACTTAAAGAAAAAATTACCAAAAATATCTAAGGTATATTAATTTGGTCCTATAATTTTAAAACTATTAAAAGTTTTGATTTAATTAAACCTCACCACTCAATTTGAAACCCCTTTTTACCTCACTTAATAACCCATCTTTTTCTTCCTATTTTTAACTCAACTCATCACGATTTAAATAGAAAACGTTTGATGTATTTTAATATAACAAGAATTTGTAATGGCAATGATAACTTATGAATTTCGACCCAAATCCTATATAAGTTAGATTGAGTTAATTGATCAAATTTAAAAATATATTAAAATTTTATGGAGTTATATATATATATTTTAGTACAACATATGAGTGGAGATAATTATAAACTTTGTGGAGTTATATTGATTCATCATTCTCGTGGAGATAATTTTAAACTTTGTGGAGTTATATTGATTCATCATTCTCATACAATTATATAATTATAAGCTTTGTTGTTTTTAGTACAATAATTATAAACTCATTTGTTAAACATGGGTTTAATGGGAAACACAAAAGGAAATAAATGTCAAAACGCTTGTTAGGTATGAGTCTTCATCAGAGAGTATGATTTTTTTTTTTATTTGGTACAATTTTTTCTCCACAAATAAACATTTTTTTAGTCAATTTATGGTATTTAAATAGGTTTGTAGTCAATGAAAAATAGTCTAAAATTCAACTTGCCAAGCAAGAAAAAGAATATCTAGATTCTTGCCCATGAACTTCTGGGTTAGTTTTTAAGATGTCACACTCAATGGTTAGGTCATGGAAATATGAATTTCTTCTTTATAATTTGATTTTATGTCTTTTTTATTTGAATTATTATATTCTTTTACGTTTAAATTTAACTTTAGTCCAGAAGCTGTCATCTTTGCTATAATTCAATTAGTGTATTTTCAAATTTTTATTTTACTTCTTAAATGTTGCATAAAAAATGTTATTATTTTAGCTTTTGTGGCTCAATTTTCATATTATATAACTAATAAAAGTTTTGAATGACGTCATGCATGCTTATTTTCTAAGCTAACATGTATTTTGTATTTTTGTTAAGTGAAATATGAAAATATTATATAGGACAAAAGTAGGTATGTATAAAAGTAAAGTTACTAAAAAATAAAACCATTTAAAAGAATAATGAAACTTCTTAAGATCTCTAAATCATATTTAAATATATGACTAAGCATCTCGTAATACTAAGATTATTGACTAAGCATATTTATACAAATTCAAAATTAAATTACAGGAAAATAATGAATAATTAAATTACAAATTTCATCCCTTAACTATGTCCTTGAACTTAAGGATAGGTTTGGTTGGTGACTTGAAAATAGAAATCAAATTCTCAATAAAAAAAATGTTTGTGTAATAGATTTGAAAATTGGATTTCAATTTTAAAAAACTTTCGAAGCAGGTTTAATAATATATTTGTAAACTAGTTTAATCTAAAATATTATCAACTAATTTATTAACATATGTGTTATAAATCTTGTATAATTATTATTCTATAATATTCTATAATTTATAATATATTATATTTTACATTAATTAATTTAAAAAAATAATTAAAAATAATAAAATGAGTTTATAATCTAAAATAATATATTTATTAAAGTTTTTATCTTTCTTAATCTAATTATGCATTTTAAATTTAGGAAAACAATGAATATTTACTATTTAAATCACATGATCCAAAAATAGTTTTTAAAAACAAATGTGCCAACCATATAATCCACTTGATCCATTAAATCTAAAAACAACAAAAAGAATCTCAATAAGAAACAACCAAATACAAAATAAAATTTGATTTTATACTATTTCTACCATTAATGATATTAACTAATAATAACTTAAAGTTAAGTAGTGAACATAAAGAAGAGTATCAAAAACCTATAAAAGGAATTTGATATGTTTATTTCAAAAAAGGGTATGTTGAGCAACTTTATTTTATCTATATTTTCTAATTTTTATGTTATTCATCTGCCACATTATGCTAAATTATTCAATATAAACATATCATATCATCATTTAGTTAACAAGATTAGCAAACTTAAATTAGTAGAGCATAATTGAAATTCTCTAAAATAATTTTAAGTACTAAATAGACACAAGGAGGCGTGAGCGGAGGGCAACGTGCGGAAGGACAAAATTTGGGGATTAAGAAATGGAGGGAAAGGATTAAGGAAGGGAAGTGGGTGCAAGATTGATTATGTTGGTTGTGAGCTACTTGCAAGAGTGGGACAGTGACATACCAAACAAGGACCACTCCCTCTTCTTTCTCATTAACTCTTTCTCCAAAATAATACACATGGACCACGTCTCAATACTTTAATGCCCTATAGTCCTATTCTCTATTGCTCACAATTAAAAGAAAAAAAAAACTAACTAATCGTGTCTATCCGAACATATCATCAACTTTGATAACTGTACTGATATATTCTATAGAAAGATGAGTCGCGACAAATAGAAAGATGTCATTGCAACTACTGCAGATATAATGATAGGAAATCAATACGACAAAAGAAAAGAAAACAATCATATTAAGTCAATGAATCTCAAAGGAAAGTTTTGTGACAACCAAGTAGTCAGATGAGTAAAAACGTTCTTTACTTTTTTTTTTTTTTTTTAATTCTGGTTGTTTTTAATGGTTAGGCGATATTCTTCAACAATCGAAAAAATGAATTGTGACAACTTTTTCTCACATAATGAACAAACTTAGATTAAGGTACAATGGGTAGGTTTTGCAATGACTTTTAGAGTAATTTACATCTACACTATCTTTAAAAAAAGATGGAATTTTCCTTATTTTTATATATTGCAAAATGCAACTGTCCGCTTCACTATTTTGGGCTGGCCCAACAAAAGTCTGGTAGTGAGATCCACAGTTCAAGCTAAGGCCCAATAGTCACAGCCCACCAGCCCACTTCCACGAAGGCGACTGAGCTCTCTTCAGTCTTCACGAGGCGGAAGTCAGAAGATTTAAACCCTAATTTCTGCTACAATCGGCCAAGATTAAGAATGTCGGGCGTCACAAACACACCGAATGCACAGCAAGAGGAAGACAAGAAGCCCAACGACCAATCGGCGCATATCAACCTTAAGGTCAAAGGCCAGGTTGGTTTCCTGTGGGATTATATTTCGTCTGATACTTTTTTGGTGGTTCTTGATGAATAAAGCTTGGGTTTGAGGGTTTCAATTTGATATTTCTTTGATGTGTTTTGGGTTTCTTGGCATTAAATTGCCTTGCCTTCTCTTTTCGATTTCTTTAGGCTATATCGGCTAGGTAACAGGAACTAAAGTATCAATTATAGACTTGTAAGGTGTTGTTGATCGTGATCCCTATAATTCACTCTATGTTCTATATTTGGGCAACACTTTTGGTCATTCGCAAAAATTGAAGCCGGAAAATGAAATGAACATTGTAAGTGGCAGGTGCGGTAGTTATCTTTCGTTATTTGAATTCTCCCCCTCCCAGAATCTAGCAAAGCCAATTCAGTTTCTAAATAGTGCTGCTCTGTGGTCTTCGTTGATTATTGTTACAGATGATGGTGGGTTAACTTGAGGGTGTGTTTAATCTGATAAATTTTTTCATTCTTAAGCAGTGTGCTAGGAGATTGAAGTGTTTATGAATCCTTGGCCCCATTCTTACTGCTCTAGTTTTCCTGTCATGGAGTGATTGATCCAAGCCTTTTTCTTGCCTCTTGGCAAATTTCCAGAGATTGAATCGACTCAAATTGTCTTTTTCCTGTTGTCTGTCCTGTTTGTCTTCCCGTGACATATGTCTCAGTTCCCTGTATCTGTTCTATCTCATTTTATCTGTTACCATTTCCTTTCTCCATCATTCTCCTTTATCAAGTACTTTATGAAATGCTCCGTACACTTTTATTCCTTCTCTATTTTTGGTTATCAATTACAGCAATTAGTTCAAATAAATTTTGGTTAGAAATAGTCTTAGGATCGCAAAACTTTCTTGATTTCGACGAGTCTGTATTTACGAAAGAAGAAAGATAGATAACCTCATTAGTTATCATTCTTTGAGTTTCTTTAGGATGGGAATGAGGTGTTCTTCAGGATTAAAAGGAGCACTCAGCTGAAGAAACTGATGAATGCTTACTGTGATCGACAATCTGTGGATCTGAACTCCATTGCTTTTCTATTTGATGGTCGTCGTCTTCGCGGAGAGCAGACTCCCGATGAGGTAGCCTTTTATCTGATCTAAGCTCAGATAGGTATTCTAGATTAAATTCATGTAATTCTAATAAAACCATGTGTCGTATCAGCTAGAGATGGAGGATGGTGATGAGATTGATGCAATGTTGCACCAGACTGGTGGATCTACTCATTGAATACGTGCTGCTGGCTCTGTTCCTTTACGAACTAGTATTTTCATTGTACTTGCTTGCAGGCTTATTAGTAGGCTTTGTAGATTCGAATGTTCTCATAATAGTCTCCTTTCTAAAATGTCAAAACTAGCTTTAACTGGTTAAAGGGCTTTAGTGTTTGGTCAGTAATCTCTTCTCACATCAAATATTTCTTGGCTTGCTGTACGGATTGGAAGCCTTACTGGGAAGTATTAAAAATAGTTGGACAGCTCTGGTTTACTTTCTCACATTGTTTTAGATTTAGTCCCTCATTCTAAAGTGTGAAAACTAGCTCTAACTTGTTAAAGTTTGCCTTTTCAATTTAGTCCCTCGAGTTTTAAAAATTTTCAATTGGTACCCTTTCCAACTATGAATGCTAAGTTGTAAAAAATTTAGAAGAATTAGGTGGTCCATAAGAAGAATGGTTTGTTTTTGCCAATCTCATAGAAATTTGGTATAGTTGGAAACCTTTTCCAATTAGAAATGATATGTCTGAAGAATGCTAAAGCAGAGGGATTAAATTTGACTCGGCTCGAGTGTCGATTTGAATTTTTGAATGATAGTGTTCTGTAACAACACCATTTGAGGGTAGATATATAAAACCTTACTGTTGATGGATGTTTTTATCAATCATTTACTTCATTTGTTCGCTTTTCCTCCTTAAAGAGTTCCTTTTTTAGTTATTTTTTTTATGTCAATGAAGAGTAGAATTAAAATCCTTTTAAAAAACTGCACAATAGAGGCCTTTTTTTTATTGTAAGAGTAAAACTTAATTATTTAAATATAATTATTTTGAAACTATTTTAAAAAATATTGAGACACGACAACCAATAAAGGGAAAATTATAATATTTTTAAAATAGTTTCAAAAATATTAATTTTCTTTCGACAATATTAAAATAATTGTCCGTACAATAAAATGAATGTTTTTTTCTTTTTAAATCCTACGTGCATGAATTAGCTACTATGGCAAGTAGCCATAATAAAAAGCTGCTTAAAGATCGGTTTTTTCATGCGCAACAATTATTATTCATTATATACATATGCTAGAACACAATTGGTTATATTCTTCTTCATTTTCATTATTGTTATTTCGAATCCGAAGCTTGAAGGTAYATTGATACAAAATTGTACTGAAAATATAAATCAATTTTAGAGCTCGGAGGAATGTATTGCGAAGCATGTAGGAACTTCTGAACTTATCTCCATCAGAAATATCTATCAAAGTTTAACTAAATGTCATACAATCAAATCAAAACCTGAGGTAGGATGTTACATTTGTATTTTGTACACTAATTTTACATACTATTTACATCCAGTGATTTACAACAGTTCGTCATCTAGAAGGGAAAACTAGAACCATCTCAATTTGGAGGGGAAGTTTATGGAGGAAAATTGGGGCAAAATAAAGGAACAAAGGTATAAAGCTGTACAAGTCGTGCAACTTTGTACGGTATAATTATACTTTCCCCTCCATTGCTAAGACGTGCTGCTTGTGAGTGTATGTTCGACTAAAATGTACTAAATATGCACAAGGGTATATGGTATATTTCTTATGTTTTCTAATCATCTGATTAACCCAACAAACTTCTACTCCGCGTGAACTTTTCGCTTTTCCACAGACTGTGAACACAACAAAGTTGTTAGAACAACCCTCAGATATTCAGTCATTAAGTCTCGGGTGCTCAATGATTTAGAATTTACAAGAAACTAGACAGAACTATGGGAATAGTCATTATTGCTTATTTGAGCAAGTGAGATAGAAAAGAACCTTTCCATAAACACTAGCCAGATTTTGGGGTATGTATATGTGTCTACTGCTGCTTGCTTCCTGCTCTGAGCCTCTCGCTCGACCAGATAATCTTTGAAAACATTCCTGTACATAATTATAGATGCTGTTGCATCATGGAAGAAGGGATTCCGAGTTAAAAAGTGTTATTGAATATCCAATGGAAGAACTAAGTTTCAGAAGGAATATATTTCACTTCTTTTTTTTTTTTTCAATTTTGTTTCAACACCTCCAGCACGAAAAATTGTGAGATTATCCTAGCAATTGACAAGAGACTATGTATAAACCAAACACAAGCCTACCTGAGCCGATGTCTGTTGCAAGCAGTGAAGAAGGCAACAAATCCATGTAATATACTTCTAAGAGCTCGAAACACCTGAAGCAAAGATTTGCCACTAATTTAATTGCAAAGTTGCCACATTATAATATGAGCTGTAGTTCACAGTATAGTACCTGGGAGAAGAGATCATTCCAAAGTGTACGCCAAACTGAAACCTCGGAAGTGACGACTGTTACTTCTGTAACAGAAGCAACTTGAAAAACACTACTGAGAAAACGCCGTACATCTCCAAACATTTCATAAAAGCATGTGCATACGTAACCCAGGAAACCAGCTAATGATAGGACAGCTCTGATCGGAGCATATAGTATTTCTGAAATGATCCACAATATAGGAAGCAAGATCACTGTAACTGCAAAGAAAAGAAACGATATTAGAAATATTGTGAAATACCGACTTCACTGAAAAAGATTTAAAAAATAAATAGGAAGAAAAGACCTACCACAGCTCCAGACGGTTGAGAAAATGAACCATATTGGTAAGAGCAACAACTCAATTAAGTCAACAACGAGACTGCAACAAAATTCAATCACATCCCAGATCACCGAAAAGAAGTTACCGAAAACTTCAATAAAAGTGTTGCCAGCAGGAAGAAGGAATCCAAAAAGTTCAATGACAGGACTTGTGAATGGTTGAGCCATAATAGAAAGAAAAGATCGCGTGGTACGAGAAAGAGTAAGAAACCACTTAATAGCTTTCTCAAAATTATGTAAGAATAACATTGTTCCCAAGTATTTGATCCTTGATACCATCTCCCAAGTCTCTATCCAATCAAAAAGGGGTCCACACAAATGAGATGCTGCTGCCTTCAAAAGTGGGACATTTTTGTATAAATCATAGAATCCTATGAGAACAGTGATAACTGATACCAGCACGTATAAAGCTCTTGCAAAATGGCACATCCAAGGCCGATAGACATGACAAAACACAGGGTAAGATTGAAGGAAAATGACCCAAGATGGCAGACCAGCTTCTAACAAAGTGAGCAACCGTAGATCAGACATTATTATTTGCCTTAATTTAAATGGAAGGTCGCGGTCATTGAACCTAAACAAAATCAATACATCTTTGTATTGTGTAGCCTCAACTACGTCCTGACAATCAGCTACATAAATCTCTGAGACACTGGGTGAATCCCTAATTTTATTTTCTCTCTCTTCCAAGAAGGTATCTTCTAAATTCCTTGSGCGAATAGATTTTGTTACTTTTCTTCTCTTATTAGGACCAGTAGGAGGAGGTGTCTGTGGTGTATTCATGCTGTCTTCTGGAGTGGTGGAATGTAAGTTCAATTCATCATCAGTGCACTCCAGAAAATCATTACTAATGTATAAGCTTTTATAGGAGATAATCTCATCCTCAACAATGGGAATGCCATTGAGGTAATTGTCTTCAGCATCATGGAAAACTTCTTCAGCATCATAGAAAATCTCTCCTGAAAAATGACAATGAAAATTGAATTATTAAGTGGGTGCTTTCTAGGCCATCACAGGTATGCTAGTTCAAGCAAGCATCTTCAACTCAATGCTTACAGCCTAAGACATGCTTAGATCATAGAAAAGGATTAAACCAAATTATACTAAAGCAGTTTCTAGTATGAAAATGGGATAAAAGTCATGGTACAGTCATCTTCAAGCAGTGTATAATTATACAAAATTTAAAGACTAAAATAAAAACAATAGTTGGGAGGAAAGAAATAAGAATAGGGAGTCTGCTACACATCAGCCCACCATAGCCAAGAACTATGTCAATTGATACCAAGGCTAGAAATAACACTATACTCTAAGCATTGCAAGAAAGTTATCAAACAAGGCACCTTGTAAATTACCCTTGATATAGGAAGCATCCAATTAACTAAAAAGCAAAGCCAATCAGTACACTGTTACAAGTCTCTCACACAAACAACAAAATGGACGTACTTGCATTCCTAATATCATTTAGGTCTAATTAATCAAGAAACACTAAGAACTACCTGTGATCGAGTCCAAATAATTCTTCAACAGCAGCTGATCTGAGAGTGAACCTGAGAACCAGGCAGATATGCACCCTGCAGCTTGGGATATGCAATCAAATTCCCATCGTTGCATATATTTAGCCTCTATGGCCAGAGATGTATCTGTCTGCAGGTGAGATGTAAATCATTGAACGCACACAACTACAAGACAGAAAACAGTAGAAGCATGTGGAAGGGTTGGTACCTGAAGCTCATTGAAATAGTTTATCCCTCTGACATTGTTCCATGAAACTTCAAAAACAATAAAACCATACAACGTCCTATGCAATTCACTGTTCAGTACAAAGGATTTTCCAAGGTTCTTCATAGGAAGCACAGGAAGCAGAAGTTTCTTTCGAGAAATTGTTACTGCATCGATCAATGGGGACCACCGCAGAAACTTCTTTGGTTTAGTAATTTTGGGTCTCTGATAAGGCACCCGTTCTCTCTTTCTATCCTTCCGGGCTTTGGTGTTTGCAAAAGGAGAGAGCCTCGACTGAAAATAGAAGAGTAAACGTGAAGTTCATTTGCAGTCTAACCCATCAGAAAATTGATAAAAACTAAGTTTAACATGAATAAAGTTGCTATGAACCTTCGTAACCATCAGCTGCCACAAGCGAGCAGACCGTGAACCAAGTTTTCTCAACCATGGCCGATTGTCCACCAAGATATATATTTTTTTACTCTCGAGCGCCAAGAAGAGGCTAAGATCAGAGAGATAAGACTGCAAGTCTCTGAATTAATGAAAGCATCAACCAAAAAGGGGGAAAACAATTAAACATCGAACAGATACTACTTCACCAACAATTGAAATCGGCTAGATACAGAGACTTATCCAAAAAATCACCTACACGATTACAAATACAATAAAGAAAACATTGCGATTAGAAGTAGCAACATTTAAACGACACGACCAAATTTGGATTCCTCCCCATTAGTCCGAATATCAAGCAGGTTGAACGCGAATTCATTCAATCAAAGCCAATCAGAAACATACAAATCCAACATATCAACAAACCCAACCCTCAAACCATCATTTTGGTAATGCAATGGATTATTTTCTCCAAAAGGAATTAAGTCAAAAGGAACAACACCATACCCGATTTGCAAATTGGTCAGAGGAAACACGCATCGCGCATCATCATCATTCCCCATTAACATCACGTTGGGTTGCCACCAAATTACCAGTGATTAAAAAGCTGCATACACCCACCCAACGCATGCTTATGCATCATAATACAAACACAGAAAAACGGACTCAAGGACCAGACCGGGGAGATTCCATGGCGAAACAAAACAACTACCGCGGAACTTCATATCCAAGAGCAAGACGGCGGGTGAATTAAAGCCCCGAACCGGTGAAGTAACAGAGCAACGAAACGAATTACGAGGGGAATCAATGGTGTAACAGCAACAAAATCCACCGAATTTCATGAGCTTGAGAAAATTGGAGAAAGAATCAGTTGGCTTCGAATTGAAGGGTGGCATCACATCCAATATATTACCGAATTGAAGTTGAATAAGCGAAGGGCGTCATGGTAAATTCAGGGCCACAGAGAAACAAACAAAGAAGAAAGAGGCAGAGATCTCGGAGGAGAGGGTAGGTCGACTCGCCATAGACGATGGAACTTCACCGCCTCGATCGCCTGCGGACAATTCTAGCGCCCGTTTCCTGCAACCAACAATATTTACTTCCCTCCCCTCKATTTTCCTTAATTTTCATTTTTTCTAACCTAATTTCGTTCTTATTGTTTTCTTTTTAATTAATTTGAGTAAACCACACGTAGCAGTTGAGATTTAAATCTCCGACTGCGAGTATTCTTATTCTTAAATTAATTATTAGTGACAAATATTTTAAATTATTTATATATAAAATTTTTCTTATTTTTTTTACTCTTTTATCTTAAAAATTTGGTTCAACGATTTTATTTAAATCCACCACTTTAAAATTAGTTGAATTCATAAAAAGGAAAATTCAGTGAGGTTTTGTAGAAAAGGAAAAAAAATGTACGAGTTAATTTTTTTTTTCTCTCCATATGCAGAAATATTTTTATTTGAGCTGAACCAAATATTCCACTGAATTTTATTTTAAAATCAACTATATATGTGGATATTGATATAGATGGTAAAAAGTCTAGATATTTACAATAATATCACAGAGCTTTTTCAAGGTATAATAGCATTTAAAAAAAGAGAGAGAGAGAGAGAGAGAGAAAAATTCCCAACTACTCCAAAAGTAGGAGGAAATTACTTTAGCACCCTCTGGTTTATTTGGCACGTTAAGCCTATTGCTTTATGTTAATCTAATAAATGAGACAAAAACAAGTTTTATTTTTGTCAGGCTTACACATTTATATTTAAGCTTTGATTTCGAAAACTCGATAAATAAGCAGAAAAAAAAAAGTAATAATATAATAATATTAGATTAGAATAGTTGCGCACTCCAATAATAATTATAATTTGTAGACGGTCCCACCCCACAGTGGAGACCCAATCACAGCGAGCGGCTGCGGGACCCACTCACCAAGAAGGAAAAAGGCGTGGCTTTATCCGAAGTGTAAAACGGAGGAAATTCGAGAGTTAATGGTCGGGTCCACGTGGCTGTTTAAGTGATGACGTGTATGTTATGGGTTTTATTAGCATGCGACAGATGTAGAGAATCGTGGGTGCATGTGCGGTGCCGCTGCGACCCATTTAATTAAAATATTTTTCTACACACATGCACTATGCATTATTTGCCTCCAATCATGCGAAATTGAATGTTTTATTTATTTATTTAATCTAATGCAAAATATCTCGGGAATTTTGATTTTATATTATTCGATTTGTTTGGGAAATCAAGAAAAGACAGAAATATGTCTCACGTAATTCTTTAAGAAAGTAATTAATTTATTACTAAATTATGGAAATGTATTGAAACATCCAAATCACAAAAGCGTTTTCTAATTATTCTTCTCTCTTTTTCACACTTTAAACCATGGGAATCGAATTAGATGTTTGGTAAGATATTTGATTGAAAGTCTTTTAGGTAATTTTGCCACATTTCAAGTCCTAAAAACAGTAATGATTTTAAACGAATACGGCCTTAATAAAGAATTTTTTCATGGAAGTATCGATAAATAAATATTGTAGCTGTTCAATAGTGATTAAAACAAGGGTTTAAAAAAAAGACAAACAAACAAAACACGAAAGACGATAAATACATCTTTCTGCCATATTTTTCTAAGAATAGATTTATATCGACCAAAAGAAAGCAACCCATCTAGATAAAAAATTTCTCAAAAATATGGAACGGTCAATTTCATAATTCACATGTTAGGATAGAACGATCAATCTATCTATCACTTTCCTTTAAACGGTAGTAAATTCTCTTAAAACTCCAATTAGATTATCATCTTTTTCATCAATGGCAGTGATATATTTTGTTGTTCTTCCTAAAGAAGACATATTATCCTATTTGAAATTTCAAGTTACAAAAGTTCCAAATTTTAAGTTATCAAGTTGTATAAAGCTAAAGAACTCAAATAAACCAGTGTAACAAGTGAATACTGAATAGGAATAGCAAGGTTCATCATTACTAGACACTTTGAGCTTGTCATCATTACTAGACACTTTGAGCTTGAAATATCTTTTATTGGTAAGAATTAACATAGTCCTAAGAATTATTGGTCTAAGCCAAGAAACATGTCAAAGATAAAAGACATATAAAAAGATGGGAAGAAGGATTGGTCGACCATTCCTAACACATGTGGTTTAGTAGATTACACAAAAGCTCTCCGTCGCCAAAATCAAGTAAGCACAAGAAGCTATAAAGCCGTTTGTAATGGATACCTAAAGATAGCAAAAAATGCCACACGATCCAAAAACTACCCGTCACTCTTTTTGTCCTATAGATTCTCCATATTCCCATCTCTAACTCATCCACAAGTCATCCACGTACAATTGTAAAAGTCATAAAAAATGATGTTTTATTTCAAAATTGTCATATCAGCAATATCATGTCATTCTACTGTTATTTAACTAACAATCAATTTAATTTAACTCATACACTATTTTAAACTATTTTGCAAACTTTAGAGACTAAAAAGATACCTTCAGAAATTAAATATACCCTTATTAAGACTAGAAAGAGACTAGATGTCTAGATGTGTATTTTACCTAACAATGTTTTTTAACCAAACAATAATTAACCCAAATAGACCCTAGAGAAATCTGAATTTAAAAGAAGTCCACTAACAAAAAACATCACAGGCCGGAAGCTTGCTATGRGGCCCATTCATTGACCATTACACGTGGGCCTAACCACAAAGCGAGGCCCAACTTGCGATAGAAAGCCCAAAAAGAGAAGCCCTCCCGATTAGGGTTTATGTTTGACGTCTATATGTAGCGACTGCCATCTTCCACATTTGGCTTTCTATCTTTCGGTTCAAAGATGATTTCTTATTTTCAGTGTTCTAGGGTTTACACTTTAGAGTTTAGGGTTCGCTTTTTTACTTTTAAGTTTATCCCAATGAGGAAATCCTTGAAATTGCAAGTGCCGTATGACGCTTTATCAGTGATTTGAAATGGTTCTCTGAGGGATTCTTCTTCTTCTTCTTCTTCTTCTTCTTCTTCTTCTTCTTTTTCACTTTATGGCCGTGTCGATGCTCCTCCACCGGCGACATTGTTACCGGAAATAGGCGCCATCGCATTGCCTTTCTATCAGATTTTGCCAGAAGCTTTTTGTCCTTTTACAGATCCAAGTTCTTTAATTTCAATGTCTTCATTCTTTTTCTTAGTTGAATACACTCAATGTCTTCGGGTTATTTGTTCAAATTAAAAATATTTGTGCATCTTGGTGATCTTTAGATTTTCAATTAATCAATAATTCTCCTTTTTATTTTGTAAGGTTACCAAAACCTCATTGATCCTTTGGCTTTCTAGTTTCTAGTTTCTGAATGGAATATAAATTCCACGCTTAAACTATTTTAAGAGGCGCAAATAAAAGCTTTGAAATTGGGTTTATTTTCTTTACCCAAATTTTCAACTCCTTGAAAAAGCTCCTCGAGCCTGTTAAAAAAGTTGGAATTTTGATACGACTCGAAAATAAAATAAATGTTAGCATATATGCACTTTATAAATGATATAAAGTAAATGTTATTTTCAAATCCTGTAAAAAGTTATTTAAAAAAGAGTGAAACGTTTTTTTCCAAATAAAGTAAAAAACTTTAAAATTTTACAAAAATAACGTGTAAAATCAGTAACCAAACTCCATTTTCATGTTTAACCCGTGATGCGAACTTGAACTCTCGTTTGCCAAAGTTGCCGAACAAGCTCGTAGCCCCTAAGAACCCTAATTAAGTTCCCACCAAAAAACCCTAATTTCCAACAAATTTTATTGCATCTACAAAAGCATGGATCAAATTCTCTACGATCGTCCAGGACCCATTTACAAATGGTCCACAAAAAATGTAATGAAAGAGAAAGATTGAGATCGGCCCAAGGGTTCTGTGAATGAGAGATGGAAGAAGAAGAATAAAGCTAAACTAGATTCAAATTTTAAGTTGGCGGGAAAAAACGGTTGAGGTTGAATGGCAAAGTATAAAACTCTTCGTTTCTGTTGTCTCCTCTGAACGTTCTGAATTTCACCCACCATGGCATTCCTCTATCTTTCTTCGATTTTTCTACTTCCAATGTGTTGTCAAGAAACACTGCCACTATCAACGACACTGTTACTGGCGACGAGAATATTGTGTTCAGAAATGCATTGAACTACAAATTCAAACCAAACCCAACATTAGAATAGTATAAACATCTTTTTTGAGCTTCTCAGGCGWTTCGGTACTAAGAATTTACCCATGCTGCRTTCGAATGAACGAGGCCTCGGCGGGCTGGGTTCCAGTATTCGTTGAAGAACTGGGGAATGGATAATCCGAGGAACAGTGAGAGTCCTGTGATGATGAGGTTTCTCATGGAGTTCATGTTGGTGAACTGGAGAAAGGATAATCCAACTGAAGCTGAAAAAAACAAGCAGTTTCTGTCAGGATTGTAATGTGAATGAGTGAAGTTGGTTTGAGTTTTGGTGCGTACCGACGAGGCCGAAGAGAACACAGTACATTGCAGCAAATATAGGGATGGGTATAGATGCAAAGACAGCTCCAAATTTACCTGCAAATGTAGAATGTCAGAAACTCGATTGGGAAAGACTTAGATTGGGCCTCTCATGATTCGAAAAAGATAGTCTACTACAGGAATAACTTGTTTTCATCTGAATTCTAGTGAATACGTACCCAAGGTAGAGAAAAATATCATGAAGCCAGCAGAAATTTGGACAACCCTTCGACTTCCGACACGGGTAAGCCCGAGAAGTCCCACATTTTCCCTGCAGTACACAATGGCAACCTTGAACGAGTTGATTTTTGTCCAAAAAGGCAAGAAAGAAGACAACAAATAGAACACTTATCCACCATAAAAGGGTCCATCTTACACAGCAACAGTTGCACCAGTGCTGGTTCCAAACAGACCATTCAGCAGGACGCCGATCCCCTACCAAGAAAATAAACCAAATTCTCATTTCGATTCGGTTTCATGTATAAGAAGCTCCAAGATGACAGTAGGCAAGCGAATTAAACCAGCTTACCTGCCAACCGATGCCTCGGCTCAGAACATAAGCAGGAGGAGGAGTGGCGATTGCCAAACGAGATGCTGCCTTGTATGCACCGGTTGACTGCGATAAAAAATTGTGGGTCAAGAAGAATTCTCAGAAGCACCAAGTTTTTTACTCATAAATTCATTCTCAGAACGTGGGAAGAAGAAATACCTCAACCATTGAAACAAGAACAGCAGCCATCATAGCAAATGAATGACCAGCTGAGAATGTAGGGGGACCCCACTGCAAAGGGTATGGAAACTTGAACCTGAAACAGCAAACATATTTATGAATCTTTTCACTGCCAACAACAATATAAAGGCAACATCAAGAGAAATGTAAGTTTCAGCTCACCATGGGGCAGTGGTTATAAGATTCGCTCTGTCAGTTCGGCAGCTTAACTGGGTTTTCATGGGCTTGTTCCGATATGCCCCACCCGCAGTTAAGATAACAGAATAGATCCAAACAATTGTGACACAGATCAACACTGGAAACCTCTCAAAAATAGGGAGATCTCTGAAGGGTCTCACATGCTTTAGATACTGCAATTTCACGACACACGCGGAATTAAGAATGACGAATATACAAAGAGGACTGACTCCAAAAGAATAACCACCACTTACTTGTGATAATCCAATGACTAGTATCAGCATGGGTAAACCAATTTCCACACACTCTCCCAGCTGAAAAAGAAAATATTCTGATTAAATCTTTTGAAATATGGAAATGATTATGAGAAAAGATTGAAACCCAGGAATAACTTTCTTGTCTTTATTACAAATGTGGAAGCAGATGTGCACGTTTAATGAATTTCAAGATTTTTAGAATTGACTTGTAATCGAAGTTAGGTAGCAGGATTCCATACTTTAAGGGAAGCATAATCCAGGAGGTAAACCACAGATTACAATACATTCCTCCCAAAGAACCTACCACAGGAAATCCTCGTTGAAACAACCCGAGGCCAACCAATCCAACAACAGGTGCCATGCCCAGTGGACTGAAGAAACTACACACATAAAGCAATGACATGATCAACAACATCGATATGTAAATATCTCATAAAAAAAACAGGATTGTGATACAGTAGTTCCCATCATTATTTCATTCACATAATGTACCGTGAGAGTAAACCCCAAACTTGGCTGTAACCGAGAATGATTTGTATGCTTGAGGCTACAATCAGAGCTCCTTGGATAGCACGCATCGTATGTAAAAATCTCTGCAAACCAATCACACGGGAAGATCTCTTTCAATACCCTACCAAGTGAAGAAAATTATCAAGTAAAATTTTTGAAGAAAAATGAATTTGAAGTTGCTGTTATATTTCTGCAACATTGACTGATATTAACATGGACGTGACACAAATAATTATGACTGGGTGTAGCAGGTACAATAAATGTTCTAAATTAACAGCCTAAACTTTCTCAGGAATCCTCCCTTCATACAATGTTATGACACAATGATCAGACATGATATATCATGACTCTAATCACCAGCAATATTTACTCCGCTCTCTACAAATAAATGAGAACGGTCTTTCTTGCACTTGATTATTAAGTATGCACCATGAATCGCTAGACTACATTATTCTGTATTCATGGAATTTCCTATAAGTCCCTACCAATTAAGATAGATGAAGATGAGAAACTTACTTCGTGAGAATCGCTAATCCGTTGCAAGGAAGAGTCTCCAACAATGTAAGCTATAGGAATAACATAGGCAAAGGAGCCTCCAACTACTGCTGGTAACCTAGTTCCGAAAAGCGCTTGGAGAAGTGTGTTTACGCCAGCTACAAAAAGAAGAGTCTGTATAACCCGTGCTTTGTCTCCCTGAACAAATTAAAAAAAGAGAAAAAAAAGAAGGTAATATGGGATCAATGGAGTACAAAACGAAGGGAGATAACTGGCTTGAAATTCTACTCATATTTTACCAAAGTGAGATAAAAAGAAAGATTGCCATATGGAAATCCTAACTTATCCGTAAACAAATTCAAAACAAATCGAAAACAAACCAGCTTACATTATCTCCACCCATAGCAGGGACAATTAAGGAAGGAATCATCACAGTGGTGCCCAGCATCAGAATGTAATTCTGAAAAGCTAGTAGGATGGTTTCAGCTGCAAAATAACATCATTTTATTAACTCAATAGGAGTAGTAAAACAGGCATTTCCTAATCCATCAGAAAGCATATAGCATCTGATAATTAGGGGCACAGCCATTTATGTGTGGTTTGCAAATTGTGTATTACAAGACCACCACCAAATAATGCTTGTCTTACAGGGGCTAAGGGAAAAAGCTAGAAGAAGAAAAGTGCTATCCTTCCAGACATTGAAATGTCATAATGTTCGTCATATATTGCATGACACACSTAACCCTGGACCCAAACTAACTATCATCGAGATAAAATACCGCCGTCATGGGTGACTGATCGTAAAAATGCAAAATTTTATTGAAAATTTATCAGGGTATGCGAGAAATCATCAAATGGGTTAACAGTCTTCATCAATCAATTTGAATTTTGAAAGCTGGATTGCAGTTTTGCATCCACAGAACGAAGCTTTAGAAACTTGGAATACCAGGACATTCCACGTCCTACCCTCACTCCATTTCTTTTTGAATACCAACAACCAGACAATACCTAAAAAAATGTTTTCTTTTTCGAATATGAATTTCCTTGGAAACCTCTACAGTAGAAGCTTGCACGATACGGTTCACAACCAGTCGTGTCACGACCGAAACTCTCTAACGAAAGAACACAAGCAAAAACAGAGACCAATACAGAAATGGAGAGAAAACTCCTAACGCTATGGAACTCCCTGACATTCCCAAGTGCAGTTACTTAAAAAACAACCTACCATTACCATCATCCCTGTAAAACCAACCAACCATTTTCTCGACCTTACTCCTTCAGGAAGGCCAATGAGTAATCTCCCCAAACGATTTTCAGTGGACACAGACATGGACATGGAAATTCTAAAAACTAAAGGGAGAGATGAAAAGGGGGAGAAGCTTACCCCATGGCGGGTTGGAGTCTATGCAGTACTCGAGGTCCTGGAGCTGTTCCATGGGAGGGTGAGTAATGTCAGCCATTGTTGTGGCTTCTCACGGCTGCTTTCGCTTGAGGCAGAGATCAGACCGAAGAAACCGAAGAACAAAAAGAGTTGAAGAAGGTAAAGTATAGATATAAAGTGAACAGCAAAAGCAAGGGGGGAAAAAATAAAAGAGAACAATATGCAAAGCAAAACCCTCCAACGCCAAGCCTCCTTTGCTGTAGATGAGAAGCCTGTTTTTTTTTCCTCTCTTTTTTCTCTCTTTCTGAATTGGAGTGTCATGTCAGACAATAACCCTCATTTGTGCCCATAACTACGAAATAGCCATCCAAAATTTCTCAAACGGTTGCTGGTTATAAGCATACACATTCGAATATACGGTGTACCAGGGGTACCCACAATACATGTCCTTCAACTCTCAGCAGTAAAACAAATTGAAGAGAAACTCTTATGTCTTTACAGATTCTGACATAAATGAATAAACTTTAATCTAAAAAATGAGTTTTTTAAAGTAAAAAATCAAATTGAATTACTAAAATGGGTTTTAGATACAGAAATGGAAACAGACACAACAAAAGGAAATCGTAATGAATGAAAACAGGGTTTGGAGGTGTCCCAGAGGCAGAGGAAGGTCGATGGGAGCATTCAATGCAAACAACTGAAGCATTATTAGTTGCCTTGTTTAATCGATGGTAAAGTTGAGTTCTTGGGAGGGCAAAGTGGTAAAATTGTAGAGATTAGAAGAAGGGCGCTTTCGGCTGAAACGGCCTTAGTACTTAAAAAAAATAGAAAAAATGTATAGGAACAAATATTCCACCCCACTACCAGCATGGCATCCCCAACAATATCCGATTCCCACGGAAAACTAAAAAACAAGAAAAGTGGGAGACTCAAATTAACTTTTAAAAAAGGCTTCCAAATCCAAACCTATTTCTTATGTAACGTTACTATATAACCCCCATCCTTCTACCTTTCATTTTCAAACCTCACAAGATAAGAATCTGTCTCTCTCTCTTGTGTTTTTGACAGTGGGCTTTGGCTTATAATGCATGCAGTTTTCAGGGTTGTGACCTACCAGAAGGGCAGTGGGCTTAATCAAGGGAGTTAACCTTAACCACAAGTTTTAACCCAAGTTTGGAGGGTCCATGATCTGGGCCCACTGGGTGGTCCCTTGTTCTTCCTTGGGCAGCAGACCTAAAAGAGTAATTTTTCCTGGTTTTTGCTGAGTTAGTTCATCGCTTCACAATTCAGAGACAAAAACAGCAATCATATTCTTCATSGGTCATAGCAACTCCAATGGCTGTATTAGAGTTTCTTCTTCTTTCTTCTTCTTCTCTCACTTTGGAGTAAGAGCCCGTCGCCTTCTGTTTCGAAAACCGTCGCTCTCTTGTTCTACTATTGGCTTACCTACGCTTTTTTGAAACCAACCCAAGTTTTAAAGCTTTGATCTTTGAACCCACCCATCAGTTTTGAAATGATATCCATATCCGGGTTTGCGACAGCCCTGCTCGGGTTTATCCCAAATTCACTAACCACTGTCCAAACAGCAGCTTTCGTCTTGCAGGCGCGTTCCACAAACCCTGTGATCTCTACCATTTCATGTCCAATTACCAAAATGCCCTTCTGTGGTTTTCCCTTCCCTGTACACTGTAACTTACAACAACCATTAATACGAGCGGGAGAGCAATTATATAAGATTAACAGCCATATGGGAAAGGACTATACGATACTACTTAGACCGTAATGGGGCTTAAAATATCTGGAGAAAATATGTAATTTTTGGGAATTTAGGCACTGGCGGGAAGGGTACATTATCATTAATTATTGATGGAATAAAGTCAGGGTTGACAGCTGAAGAACAAGGAGGATTCCTCTATCCATATGTATTGCGTTTCCCTCTTTCTTATTTCTTTACTGAGTGTGTGTGAGTGGCCACCTTTCTTCAGTAGCAGCTTTTTTTTTGTCTTAGGAAAGAGAAAAACAAAACCCACTCATTTGAATCCACAAAATATAGCCAGTGCCCAAAACTTGATGGTTTTCAAATTTGAATTTGTATGTAAAAGGACCCCACTGCATGTTATGTATTATCCATCCACATATTTCTACATAGAATCAAGAAAAATTAAATTTCATCCCCAATAGCCTAACACTATAGACTGGGAAACGTTAGAAATTTAACTATAAGGCATTCTTGAGTCATTACAAAACACACAGGCAAGGCAATTACCCAGCAAAGTGACCAGGATCCATCTATGCATTACTTGTCGCTGCCATGGATGTTGGGATTTAGTGCCATCTCGATCTCCTCCAGAGACCGCCCTTTCGTTTCGACTAGGAAGTACTTGGAAAATATGGCCGCCAACAAGGAAAATGCACCAAAGCTAGCGTAAACTGGAGCAACCCCAAATGTTTGGACCAAGTCCAGAAAGAATAGACCCACTGAGAAATTGCATACCTGATGAGCATATGCGTTGGAGGAATGACATGTTAACATAAAGCATGAAAAACACACGTGAAAGTTTCAAAGTGGAACTACTAATTACAGAAGGAGGCAGCACATTTGAGTAGAAAAAACTTAACAAACATGTACTGATTTTGGCAATAAACGATTGTCGTACTTGCTTACCCAATGAACTGCAAGGCTAAATCCCATGATCTTCCCACGTGCCCGGGTGCTGCTAAGCTCGGGTATAATAATACCAGTAACTGGACCGGCTCCGATTGCGAAGGCGAAGATATAACTGTGAAAATGGGAAGACAAAATACACACCAATTATACAGAGTACACTCATACACATGCTACAGATAATAAATAGACAGGAATTGCTTCATCTTCAACCTTGACATCATCAAAAGGTTATTCATTTAGAAAAGTATATATACTCCTAAAAAAGAAGGTTTTGGTGCAATTTATTATAACATCAACATGATTAGTTTGAGAAAAGGGCGAAATTCCAAAAAAAACAAAAGGGATTTATTTCTGCACCCATGTATATATAAAGGAAAGAGATTATTTTAGAAGAATCTGTTTATTTCAATGAGAAACAAAAGGAATTGTTTCTGCAGTCCAGAGACATAGAAACCATAAATATTATTCCAGTCCATACAATCTCCACAAAAACTATAATGATACTCATAAACAAGATCCTGATATTCACTCTTTCGAAACTTCTTGGAAAGAAAAAAAAAAAAAAAAAAAAAAAAACTACTTGGTGCATATTAATAGGCTAAATCAACAAAGATAGATATTCGTGGATCTTCTTTTGAAAAGAAAAATGATAGCTCACCAAGCTATTCAATCCTTATCCCAAAAAAGGGAAAAAGGAGCTATTCAATCAAATATCAAACAGAAGAAAGAAACTGAAATTATGAATGAGCGTGCAATATATGGTGCAAAATTCTGCCTCAATCTTGAGTGATCAAATACTTACGCAATAGTTCCTACTATCGATAAATTGTGACTCAGTTCTTCATCAAGCTGGAAACTAATGGCAGAGACAATAACCAACATTGAAACTGCCTGCACAGAGGTAAAAATTTAGAAGTATTATGAGGTGTAAAAGTAGTCCAGAATATCAGGTTATCTTCAAATTGATGTCACCTAGTGTCAATATTGAGACTCTTCATCCAGAACTCCATTTAATCATTGATTGTTGAGGACAAGAAATATCTTCCATCTTTTTAAGAAGAGAAATCAACATTCAACGGCCTAGTTGATCTTTAACATAACAACACAATTTATGTCGGTGGGTGGGTGGGTGTAGTATGCAATAGTTGTCACCAGATTTATTCCTCTTAGTTTGTTGTAATTCAAAATGTGTATATAAATTACTTAAGAACTTTCATAGTCTCCCTAGAATTGAAAGATTATATATATAAAAGGTTAGCACATAAAATTTTTTCCTCCCTTAAAAAATTTCTATCTACGCCTCTAGTTGTCTTTGCACCACTCAAGATTTTAATGCATGTCATGACTTATGATATGTTTTAATAATGTCGTTCCCGCAACCTTCTGCTTCCCTTCCTACGTGTGCAGTCATGTCTCGTGATATCTCTGTCAATAAACTCACCATGCCCAAATAACTCCCAATTAAAAGCCTCTGTCTCCCTTGCTTATCCATCAAGTATAAAGCACAGAGAGCGCCTGTTGACTCCCTGATTAACAAGAATGAGTACACGTTCCAAGGAAAACTTTTCTGGATATAGACAAGTTCATCAGAAAAAGACATTTTTACATACCAGCAAAATTGGTAATTCCAATAACCAAACTTGCTATGGCAACATTTTCGATTCCAACGTCTTGAAAGGTCAAGGATGAAAAATAAAGAACTCCATTTATACCAGCAAACTGTTGAAGGAAGAAAAGGGCACCTCCAATCAATGCCACTGCAATTAAGCAAAGAAATTTGAAGATCATAAAAAATTCAGCTGTATTGTTAAACCGAATGATTAAACCTTGTTTTAACTAATCTGGGAAAGGGTAAAATTAGTCAAGTCAAGTTCAGCTTCCATAAAGATGGCTATCATTCATAAAAAAAGTAATGCAGGTCTATGCATACTCTTATCATTTCTTTCCGTACAAAGACATAAGATAGGGTTCATCACCCAAAATACTAAAACCTATTAAAAAGGTCACCTGGGTACCTCTAGAGTTTGGTTCCCCAAGAAGTTCCGACCATCCACTGTTCAGATCACTTCCATCATTTCTTATTACGGACTGGAACTCTTCAACCGCTCTTTCAACTTCAGATTCTCCCCATAGGTTACTGATAACAACTCTGGTTTCATCCAGTCGTCCAGCCTAGAACAGCATATGGAACCTCTAAAGAAACCACTGATAAAATTCTGTCATCTTCCAGAAATGAGTCATACCTTACTTAGCCAGCGTGGACTTTCAACTGCGAACTGCATGCCAAATGCGATAAAGAACCCGGGAAGACTTGCAATATAGAGCATTGTCCTCCACCTGAAGTCAAGACATGTTAAAAGTTATCTGAAGTTGCAGCAAGAGTGTAAGCCCAATGGAGTAAGGAGTTCAAGCACTCATACTTGGATTTTCTTCACAAACATACATACACTGATAAACTTTCTCTAGACAACTTAAGGACCAAGGAAAAGCGACCTTGCCTCTTAGAGTAAGACCTAAAAGGTACTATTAAGCAAAATTTTGGCAATATATTTTTTGAACAGACAATTTATCAGCACAAGCAATTATGAATACCAAGCATTTAAAGGGATCAATTATCTTGTCCCGCCCCAAGTAGTGGAGGCTAAGAACTTTTGAGTGCTGAAATGCAAGATGTTGCTAACAGTTAAAAGAAGATTCCTGGAGATGATGGTTAAAGCAAGTTGAGTTCATGAAGACGTTACTCAAGATGTTTATCTAAGCACCATTAGAAAATAAAACCAAAATGGGAGTAGAGCATACACACCAATGTGGACCGCTCTCAGATGGAATTCCCAGAAACAGTGAAGCAATAATTCCAAGACATGTTCCAATCTGACACAGGCCTCCTAGTGTTCCCCTGTACTTCGTTGGAGCAACCTACAAAATCAACAATTAAAAATGGGTGATCAGAAACAGAGAAAACAGTCCCTTTTTTTAATTTTATTTCTAACAATACTTATCAAGGGGGATCCAATTCTAGGTTACGTTTCAGGAACAATTCGACATAGTTTTACACGTATATTACTAGGTCATATAGAGTCAAAATTACAGTAAGATTCCGAATGTCTGAACAGACCTCGAATAAGAGGTACGATCTCGCAGGGCCTTACGGGAGAGTGGAGCCTCAAGAAGGGAMCTTAGATCGGAAAACCCCTTCTTAAATCACCCCATTAATCCAAAAGAGAAGAGATTCCGATAGCCGGCTTTTCTCTATTGATTTTTCACAACGTCAATTATGTGAAAAATTAAATAAATAGAGAAACGTGACTCGACTCTTTTCTCTACCTCCTGACCTCTTACTTCATTTAGGCAAGGAGCTTTCCACGATGGGCCTTCCTACATTGGCATTTTGGTTTTTTTACGGCAAACAAAAAAGGGAGGTATTGATGCTGATAGAAAATCAACCAAGTGGTTCTTTACTCCCTCAAGACTTAGCTTCTTATTTTTTCTTTTATCCAACACCTTTTGGGCAACACTCRATTTTTGGAAATTTCAAAATTTGCAACCTAATTTCTTACCCCTTTTACCAAAAAAAAGCAGTTGTGCTCAACCATGAGCTGAAAAGACATCTCTTATCGTTTCTTTAATCTCGGGAGAAATACAATGGCAGAGGGGAAATACATGGAACCAAAAAGGAAGCATATTCACATTGCCTGATTGCATGACCTTTCTTGGATTGCCCAATAAAAAAAGGTTATAGCCAGGGGCTCAGATAAATCAGGATCAAAGACATTCCTACAATTAAATAGTTAAAATTTTGACAATCAAAATTTGTAACACTATGACCAACTTATAAGCCTCGCCTCACTTCAACTGAATTTTGCAATAGTAAGTTAAATCCAATTGCTTCCCTAGAGCATCTTCTTCAAAATATCCAGCATCTGCAGTAATGCTAATTGATAGATATTTAAAAAAAGAAGAGAGAGTTCAGAAGAAATGCACTACCTCGGAAATATAAATTGGGACAAGTACTGTATTAACTCCTATGCCAAGGCCAACAAGAAATCTTCCCGAAAGTATTTCATCTAAGGTATGGGCTTGAGCACTGACACAAATATGGCAGCTCAAACAGTGATAATATGGTAAAGGAAACGCTATCAGCATACATTTACAGGGACCAAATACCTCAACAGCGCACCAAGAATCAAGGGTGTTGTGGCAATTTGAAAGGTACGCCTAAATCCTAGTTTATCAACCAGCGAACCAGAGCTTATACTTCCAAGAAATGCACCAACAATAAAAATGCTCACAACTAGTCCCTCAAGGATTGGGTTCCCATCGAAACCAAGTTCTCGAGCAACAGAAATAATAGGACCATTCATTACTCTGCAAAATATTCATCACAACGGTAAAATATTTGTCAGTGGTAAATAGCTTAAGTTCAACAACTTGACCGAACCAAACAAAAGTGATGAAGAACCATTGAGTTTCCCTCAATCCAAAAATGCCAGAAGGCAAGATTTGGGCAATGGCGAACACTCAATTTTGAGCCAGATGATACTATCTAGACCAATCATCAGTTCCATCTCTAACCAACAAATAGCATAACAGACTCTCATCTGCTCATCTCTTAAGCATATATGAAAACACAGAGGCTTACCCTATGTGGTAACCGAATAGAAAATTAGACAACGAAGCAACGAGAACATGAGGGAAAGCAGGTAACCATCCTAAATCCAGTCCTTCCCCATCCTCTGCTCGCAACAAAGCATCTTCACTCTCTGCCAAAATTAGACGAGCTAAAAATTCAATGCCAACATACCAAATAGCTTAGTAGAAGCTCCGGGAATGAATGTAGGACCTGATTTTCCGTCCTTCAGCTCAGGCAGCTGTTTATTTGCAGCCAACACTTGGAACTTCCGAACAGGAAGAAACACATAACGCAGACCGAAACGTAAAGGAAATGACCCACGTTTGCATAGAGCGCAGGGCGTAGGTATAAACCGCCGACGGACGGTGATGATCGCCRGGACCGGCGGAACCGGATGATGGAGGACGGGAACGACCCTCATGAAAAGAAAAACAAGAAGCCGAGGGAGTTCTGGTTTACAAGTACAGAGATGCTCACATCACAGATTCAAGCAAAATGGTGGCTCCACCCCATTAAGCGCGATATTATTTCGAGAAAAAGTCATCTACAAAAGGAACCACTCAGAGAAGATTCAATCTGCGGGCACGTGCATGATAGGGATGGCGATGAAAACAGCGACCAACGGAAGATGATTTTGACTCCGACGTAATTCTCGGCCACCGACCGGACGGCAAACGTCGGGAAAATCGGGAGGTGCTTTAGACAGTGGAGCGCCGGAATGAAATCCAGACAATTTTTGAGCCTTTAGCCTGTGTTCTGATTTTGATGTATATATTTAAGAGAACTGTATCTCCATTTCACCTTGTCACGGAAAGAAAAATAGGAACACGAGATTCGCAGAACCCAACTCCCCATATGTGAAAATGACATTATTTATTACAGATTTCTATTCATTATACTTCTGCCGTTCTAGACAAAGTAAATCGTTACAAGTAGAACAATGACCAAGTATTGCCAAAACCAAAATACGATGACAAAAAAAAGGAAGTGTTTTGACCTTCCTCTTCTATTTTACCAGGCAAATGAAGACGGATGTGATTTGTAGGTACTAAAAATTGCATCGATATTTTCTGCAACATTGAGAATTTATTGTTTCTTACTCAAGTCTCTTCTCAGCTTTTCAAAGGCCTTACATAGAATCAACAATCGATCCTTAAATTTGGTTTTTTATGTGACTATGATAGAAAGAAGGGAAATGAAAAGACAATGTTAAAAGAAGAAGGTTTGATAATTCTCCAATATTGAACAATCCATCAGAATTAAATTTGACTAACAAGCAGCATCTTGATAATTACGAAAGAGTTGAGAGCAAGCAGGAAAGCTTTGAAAGCTCATCATATGGTGTAAAAAGAGAAACATAACGTCCTTCACTTTTACAAGAACCGTAATCTACTGATAAGATAAAAATGGACTACCTTTCCTCTGTGAGTCTGCACAAGCAGAGACAAAACTAAGAAAGAACACCAATGAAGCAGCCTAGTCATGATTCACAAGAAGTTAACTATACACAGTGAGTCCTCCGGGGATTGCATCATTCATTTGAAATGGGTCCGGAAGCTTCAGGATCTTTCGCTTTCCTATTTGCGAGTGACTCCCTCACAGTTTTCACTTCATTTCCAACATCTAGCAGTCTATTTTCCAGTACACTAACCTCCTGAAGATGTGCTTCAAATACATCAGCAAACTTGTCTTCCAAGGCTTTGAACTTCTTTTCAATAACTAAGCGGTTTAGTCTATCCTCCTCTGCCTGCTTCAGTTGCATCTTTTCCAGTTCCATGGTGCTGAGGACAAGGCCTCCAGAACAAGGGACGTCTTTGTAAAGTGGTTCATCTGATTGTGGACATTGGGCTCTATATTCTTCGAATGCTTTGTGCGTTTCCTTCAATGCCTTTCGGTAGCCGTCCAATAAATTGCCCATCACATAGAGCTCGCGCTCAAGCCGGTAAATATCAGACTGCATCTTCTGTTGCTCCTCAAACTTTGCCTTTCTCAAATGTTCAATAAAGGTCTCTCTCTGCTGCAGCTCGTGAAGCAAGTATTGCTGATTCATAGTGGATTGCTGATGAGCCTGTTCCTTCTCTGCATACATCATCCTAGCTTTATCAAGCCACTGTTGTACGTTATCCATACACTTATCATAGTCAAGAGGACCGTCGCTCCTTAACCTCTTGTTCCCACCATTGAGAGATTGACCTGGGTTATCAATATCAGGGTCAATCAGTCTCTTGTTACTATTACCGAAAGGTATACATCCACCAGAACTCATTCTGCCATCATCTCTGGATTGAATAAATTCAACAGATGAATGACCGTGTAAGTCAAATTCCGAGTTAAAAGTAATTGGCTCTGTCTCCATTTCTTGAATAAACTGGCCTGAAGAAAATCCATCAATAGGATTGCTCCTTGGCAACAGGCGGAACTCACCTTCCTGATCTTCCTCCTCTTCTTCTTCCTCCTCTTCTTCTTCCTCCTCCTCTTCTTCTTTTCCTTGATCATCCCCTTCTTCTAATGCTGCTTTCTTTTCCTCTCCAAAATCAACTTCATTAAGTTCATTTGTATTACACCTCCTTAACAGAAGCTCCGGGACTCTATCCTTTCCATCCAAAAGCCATTGACCTTGTTGTTCTTCTTTGCTTTCCATTAAATCCATCATATCCCCAATACTGGATTTCTCCTTTTGAACATCAACTTTCTCAAAATTGTCTTGCCCAAGGCACAATTCAATATTGTGTTCCTCCAATTTATTTACCACAGCATCATCGTTTCCTACTGTCTCTAGTCTCTCGTTACAAACCTCATCTTCATCGTCCTGTTCTTCCTCCCGTTCCCGTTCTTGTTCTTGCTCTGGCTCTGGCTCCGGCTCCGGCTCCACCTCCTCCTTCGGTTCCAACTCTTCTACCTTAGGCTCTTCTTCCTTCAATAAATCCTCCCGTTGAGACCGGATCAAACACTGCAAATGTGAAGCATAATAACAATTCACCAACTGCGGAGATTGCATCAACTCCTTCTCCACCATAAACCAAATCAAACCAGCCCAATCAACCCGCACAAAGTTTCCATCCTTGATCACCTTTGTCCAATTCATTACCTCATTGGGCATCATCCACATATCTTCGTGTAAGAGCAACCAGTTGGACACAAAATCCTCAATAAAAGCGATCGATTCCTCTGTTGCACTAGAATCTTCTTCGCCATCCACTACCGTCGGTTTCTTCACCGGCAACCCCAAGGCACGAGCTAAATCAGCGCGATTGACCCCGATTCTATTCCCATTGACGTAACTACACCTTTGGCTGTTGCTAAAATTTGCAACTAACTGCAGAAGGAGGTCATGTCGAAGAGACCTATCAAACTTAATATGAACAAAATCCCACAATCCCAATCGCTTCAATAGCCTCTCGTGAGTCGAGAAGTCCAGATTTTTAGCAGGCACAAAGGGAATGGGTTTAAAGGTATCGACCAGAATTTGAAGCTTCTTCTGAGATTTCTCCTGAAGGAATCTCCGTTTCTTCGAAAACTTCTTCCGCTTCGAACCCCGGCGAAACATAGTAACGGAGGAAACAGACGCGTAGGTATCGGAGATTCGAGGAGAGAGGGCAGTAGACCCAACTTGGTCGCTAGGATCGTGGTCACTGATGAAGCTTTCATTAAGCTGGAGTTCTAGATCTTGCGGTTCTGCTTGGGGGGAGTTCTGTTGGGGATCGGGTGGTTCTAGGGCTAGGGTTTCAGGAGATTGCCGCCGATCAGACTGATTTTGTTCTTGTACTGCTACTTCTTCTCCTCCATCTTCTGGTTGTTGTTGGTCCATGGAATTAGGGTCTTGAGCGGGAGAAACTGGATCTTCTTCTTCTCGATCTTCAGAATGAGGTAGTGAAGGAGAAAGAGCGGGAATTGCCATGGAACTTGCACCAAAAAGTAAACTCGAGRCTCGAGATTCGAGGTCAACACAGTCTAATACGATGGAATGGGAATCGATTAATCGCTTCCAATTTATCTGACGACATGTCGCCCACTGCCCAAGGTAAACCCGTAATTTCGTGTAAAATGATTCTAGTAGAGTATAGTCAATAGTCATAGCGTCGACAATAGAAATCTCTAATGGAATATTTTTAAAATTTAGGCCAAATACACATTGGTTCTTGAAAGGTTCAAACGTGATGTATATTTAGTTTCAAAATAAACAACTCTAGGTTTAGAAGTTTAGAAAATTATTCTAAATAGTCTTTGAATTCAGTTGACTATGACTCATGGAACCTTATGTGAGGTTAACATATTAATTGGATTATAATGATTTTACAAATTTGAATTAAGTGGAAAAAATATTTTCACTTTATTTTTATTTTTATTTGATGAACACTTGAAGTGACATCTCCTTTTTTTCCCTCTTCCTCCTCTTTCTTTTTCCCTTATTCTCTAGCAAACACTGTCATCGTGCTCGCTCCTGCTAGGTCGTCTCTCATGCTTAAAGAATATCCGTTTCAGATAACTTTTGTCGGGTTTAAAAGTTACATAGGTGATAGACAATGAAACCCAACGAAAATGACACACGAGCAATGGTTATCATTGAAGAAGGGAAAAACAGAAGTAAGAGAGAAAGGAATGAGATGACCGTAGATGGCATTGCAACTCTAAAACGAGGCTCTTGTTTCATGTCTAATAGTCGCAACAATGGCGATTGACATAAAGAACAAGGTTAAATTTGAACAATGACGACAAGTTGTGACAACTGAGAAAAGAGCAACTACATCAAGGTTCACCGTATGAGGAGGGAAGAAAATGTCATGTCATTTTGCCACCTCACAGTCCAATCATAAATATTAGTAATATATTTTATCATATAATCATAATCCAATTAGCAAATAATAGTCACGTCACCTCTTCAATAGTTAAATATTAGTCAACTGATTTTACGGATCATTGCAAATCATTTTTCAATCCTCATGAATTCAAAGTTTGCATTTTGAAACTATGATTACTAAATAGACATCAAACACTAGAGAGTGAAATAGAATTTTACCTTAAAATTTATTATTTATGTACGAAAACTATTTTAAGAAAAATTATAACTATGTACTATTTACAATTTTTTTTTTTGACATTTACTAACATTTTGATTAAGTAAAATTTGGTAAAATATAATATTTGAAAAATTCAAGTGAGAGTATGATACAGTTATGCATAAGATCAAGTAGGGTAAGATGAATATATAAATACTATGGTTGAGATTCTAGTGATCCATCAAGTATTTATATATTGAGATTAGGGTGACTCATAATTGGAAGAATCTAGAACACAAATCCTTAATTCACTTGTGCACCACCGTCGACAATTTCTCTAACCATTTGGTTCAATCTAGTCGTCCGAGAGTTAGATATATAATGTAAGATTTTAAGTACTTGCTTACATAATGTTATTTCTCTAATTACTTGCTTGTCGAGTTCTCTCTAATCTACTTCAATTTCGATTGAGGAGCCCATATGGAAAGATGAATTTGAAAAGCGAAAGATGAGACTCAAAAATCTTACCTTAGAGAAGTGAACATTTCGGATGCATCAACTAATTGAGATGTAAAGAGATTCGAACTCATGATTCATTGAACAGAGACAGGTAAGAGTTAAGTTAAACAACACTCGGTTTAATATGAATATTTCAATTAATTTATATTGGTACAATGCTTCTTATCAAATATATAATACTTCTATATAACATATATTATTGTAGTCCCACCAATGTTCACGTTCGTCYACTCATCTCTTCCACCCGAAAAAGAAAAAAAAAATGGGACTCGATCGAAGGAGTGACGTTTAAAGTCTCTAAATGAAATTACCCATTAATTAATTTTAAGATACCAAGTACTGTTGCAGAATGTTCCAGGAATCAAACTCTAACATCTAAATCATAATAAAATTTAAACTAAAATAATCAAGTCTATGGAAAACAGAACAAAACAGAAATGTTACAATAGAGAGATCACGATTCATCAGTCAACTTCTTCCTCTGCGATTTTTTGCCACGCAATCCAAAACAGAAATACTGCAAAAACGAAAAAGTAATACCTTGAAATCCGAAACGGACCGGAATATTCCGTTTCAGAGGACACACAGGAGTTCGATTCAGCAAATTAAATTGCGTTCAGTTCATTCCCCGGCGAATCAGTGGCGGGAATACGAAGAAGAATGGGACGATTCTTTCCCGCCGTCGCCGTCGCTCTGGAACCGTCCTTGGA